GGTATTTTTTTGACGTTAAAGGCCGAAAAACACTGACACCAAATCCCTTTTTTGCACTAGTGGATGAGCCTACTACTCACCCATGCATGTTCTGCTCATGTACTTCCAATTGGTCCAACGTATATTGTTATTATATTACTTGAGATTTGACTAATCATTTGGCTACTACTCATCCCATTGACTACCTTTGTCATCTCTCTCACAAAAAAAACAAGCACTACTTTTTCTCTCACGGTTTTTAACTCTCTCTTCTCTCTCCTTTTTCTTTTCTCTCGATACTTAGAGCATAAAGCTCTGATACCACTATTAAGAAAATCTCACGATACACACAATCAAATATTTTCCTGAAATTGAGTCTTGTATTCATTTATAATTGAAGGACTTTAAATAGCCGTGACACTTACAATATTATGAGAATAAAAATAAAATATGAAAATAAAATATCAACTATCTTAAAAATAAAATATGTCTAATCTATCATAAAATGACATTGTACCTACATAAACCGAAAATCATAACTATGTATCCCTGTTTTATCTCTATCAAATCAAAATAAATATCACTAGACCCAAAACTAATAAAATAAAATTTAAACAAAATTATTAATAAAACCCTAAACACAAAATTATTTATAATTCCTATTTTATCCCAAGAATATGAAGATATGATGAACTGCAAAGTTGTTTTAAACTGTGTCCCAAAATTCTAAAATTTTCAAAATTCCACTATTAGCTACTCTTTTTTGTATATTTTAATTAACTTTCTCCCATTTTTCTACATTTCAAAGATTTATTTCATTTATATTTTGAAAATTCTAAATTTTTGTTGGTGTTTTCTAACATTAAATATAGATTTTTTATGGTTTTAGATTTTACGTTTGTTATACGTTCATCTTCGTAACATTTAGAGTTTAGGGTTTATCATCTTTATAATTATCATGATACATACAAAAAAAAAGTAAATCAAATATATCAACATATAATTTTTAAATGCATTATGAAGAGAGGAATGCAAACTTGGTAGTGTAACACAACAAACAGGAGGCAAAAGAGCCCGCATGATGAACAAGAGAGAACAAAGACAAACGGTTGGTGAAATTAACTCTATTTAAGGTTGGTGTAGGTTACGATGCTTTGTACAACTATAACTTATACTCTGGTAGCCACAATAGTAGTCAGAGTGTAAGCTACGGTTGTTTCATAATCGCAGTCTAAACCTTGCTAGAAGTTGTAAAAATCTCACGACGTCTTTGTAGACTATGTTTTTCTTAAAATCATAGCCTATATGTCGTTGTTAAATGTGATATTTGCACTAGTGTAGAGAACAACTAAAAGCATAGGCCTAGATAATAGGAAAATAGTCCAAAGAAAGGTATCCATACCACATTTGTGTTAGATTTGATGTATGTCCTAAATCAAATATGTCATGTTAATAATAATAAAATTTTGTTTATTATTATTTATTTCATTGTCATATGATAAGGTTCTTGAATAAAATTAAAGACTTATTATTATAATATAAATTATAATAATGAAAAATAAGTCTTACCTAATTTTAATTTAAATTGTTCTTGATCATAGGATCATTGAAGATAGAACATCATTAGCTTCGGATAATTCAATTATGTGTAATGATCTTTATCGGATAAAGATTAAAAGAACTCATTTTTTAAATTACACATATAAATGAATGGGAAATTCCTTTGAAAAAATATATTATTTTCTTAGACTTGAGATTATCATAAAAATTAACAAGTTATTTTTTATACTTTGATATAAGACATCTAACATTTCATGAAGTTAGGTGAATGATTATTAGGTATTATTAAATTCTTGTGAAATTAATTATTAATCAAGAAAAAATACATACCATTGGTAACGTGCTTGAGCTTTATAAAAATAAAGACCTTGGCAAGGGTGTTATGAATGAAAGAAGAAAGAAATTTCTTAACTCATTCATCACGTGTTAACTTATTACAATTTGACAGTTATATCATATATAGAGTTAACATAGTTATAAAGATAGAAGGAAATATTATATTAATCTTCTAGTGATTTTAAATTAAAAGATATGTCATACTATTCAGTCATTAAGGAGTGTTCGTAGACACCAACCTTGATTAATAAATTAATGAGTTAATTTATTATTGGTTTAGTAACGAACGTGAGGAGTCACATAATATAATGAATGTTCTAGTTTTTGTTAGACGGGAAATATATTATTGATTAAATTAAAGGGTTTAATTTTAATTCATTAATATATTTTCTCTAAGTGGAATATCAATTTATTTTTTGCTAACACCAAAAATAAAATTAATAAAAATGTAATAATATATAAAATTGATTAAGACATAATCAAAAGCTAGGTGACGCATGCTATATTGATAGTTCTCTCTTCAATGATTTTTTTATTTTATTGGTTTTCCCGTGGTTACATCTTCTTGTTTTACGGGTCAATTGACACAACAAATATCAGTTTCGGTGTGGATACACATGTAAGGCTTTCATGTTTGAGGGAAAAATTTCTTAAAATCATTAAGGTATTTTTCTTTAATTCTTTTATCTCCTTGGTATTCTTTAATTTTTTTTATCTCTTGGTATCTAGTATGTTACCAAAACAGGTCTAATAATTAAGGTTGTGCACATTATGAATGCGATTTATAACCTTCCGGTGGTGTATTGACCCAATATAGTGCTTAAAATCTATTAGATGAGAGTACTTGAGAGATGAACATGAATAGGTATAAGTGTGGCTATAGGATACAAAATATGGGGAATGCGATGTTTCTATAATCATTTACATTNAAAAAAATATAAATCAATGTGATAAAGAAATAAAATTTGTGTTTTATTAAATAATAAATACATGATTAATCTGATTAAAATTAAAGCATATTAATATATATTTTATATTTTTAGTAGTAAATTAACAATAAGGACTAAAAAATTAGAAAGCGAGAAAGCGTGTAATTTTTAAATTAATTTCGATATAATCTACGCGAAAGCGAGAAGAAATTCCTTGTGTGTTTAATGTTTTGGGAGTGACCGCGTAATGTTTAATTCTGTCTAGCATGGCATTTACAAGAGAAATGACTAGCATGCCAAGGTTGGAACTATTCATGAAGGTTTCAGCTTCTGCCACTAACCTAGGAAGGCAAATATGAAAGGAGAGAAATATCAGAAATTTCTGTGCAAATTACCATTTCCATTTCTTGCGTAATTTCCATGCATTAAATGAAGGCTGTATATGAAGGCATGCTTTCTTATAAATATATAGTCGCATTGCCATGTTTTATCGGCATTCACCAGTGTTTGCAGAATTAATAGACATTGCAAATGGGTTCCCAAAAGCGAATTCAGGATGTTCTTGTTCCCACAACAAGGCCACCCTATGAGAGAAGCAAGTCCAAAACTTCAAGCAGTGAAGCCATAACCATTCACAATGTTCTTATCCATACAACAAGACCACCTCCTAAGATTAGTACCTCCAAACCTTCAACCACTCGACCCAATTGATTTCAAACCCCTACCAATGTTGCAGATTGATTTATATATGGCGAAGTGCAAGTTTTATTGAAGGTGGAAGAAAGCATGTCCTTCTATTTAGGGATCGGAGAATACATCAACTCAGCTAGTGTGATCGGATAATCCATCACAGCATAAATGTTCTTGTATTCATAATAGTGTCTGATTGTATTCCATCACAACTCATAATTGTATTCATAAGCATTACAATAGTGTTTTTTTATTCAAATGAATTCTTTTAATAAAAATCCTACTATATCTATGGGATCATTCCTCTATTTTGCCATTGTTAAATTGTTTGATTTTTTTAATTATTAACCAATTATACTATAAGTATATGTTTGACCTACTTCTCCCTACTCACTAGTAGAAATAAAAATATAATGAATATTCTCATCATTAAATTATATACGAGTTGAAATATGAAAATTTAGAGAACTTACATGAGCTTCTATAACTTAATTTATTTATGAGCTAATTATAACCTAGAACCAAATCAAATGAACTCCAATTCAAGTTTTGATTCATACAAACAAATAGTAGTTAAATTGTCTCTTTGATTTCTCTTGTATAAACCTTTTTGAAAAGTAAAAATAGGAAACAAAACTCCCGTTATTGTTGTTGTCGGCAATACCCCTTTCTAATGTACTTATACAACTTTAAGCTTTCACTCTCCAATAGTATACTGTAGAAGGAGAACATATTTAAAGACCCAAAGTATAAAACATTTATGCTATTTATTGGGTTTGCACACAAAGAAAGTTTGAAAGGGGATTTTTCTAATAGGGTATAAGGGCATTGAATTGAGAATGTTGATGGGGGACAAACCAATATATGTTTTAATGAGATAATTCATCTATTCAAGAATTTAAAATATTTTATCGCATATTAGATTTTTAGGTGATATAATTTAAAAGAAATTAAAAATAATTCTTTTATTAAAATAATTAAACGGTCTAAAATTAGAAAATTTCAAATTTTATCTAAAAAACTAAAAATTTCACATTGTTCGTATTATGTAAAGGTAAAATAGAAAAGTGAAAATAATGGGAAATGAAGATGTAAATGAAGAGAGATATACGAGGGCCACACACAAAAGGAAAAGGGCATGAAATTGTAGGTGGCTGGTGTGTCCATGCATGGCGCGTATTCAAAGTTCAACACTTTGAACATTTGAGAATGAGAATTTTCGTCACGAATTCTACAGCTTAGGGCAAACTTGTTATCTGAAGTTACATAAACTTTTATACTTATTGTTAATTACATGATTGGGCCCCATTCACCGTGGATTTATCCTTGTGCAGCAAGCTACTTACATATACATATACATATGATCACGCAAACCCTTATATTTCAAAGTTTGTAAATTAAACATGAAAATAACAGGAATTTCTTTGTATATTACACCATAAATCATTTGGTAACTGCCATGCATTAATTGAACAAATTAATGGAGGCAGGTTCACCTAGAATGGCTATAAATACATACCACCCACATGCCCATGTTTCATTTTCCATACACAAATTAAAACCGACACCAAATTAAAGCAATTTTGACAGAATGAGTTCCCAGAAGACAAGCATTCAGAATGTTCTTGCTCCTACGACAAGGCCACCTCCTAACTCCAAACCTCCAACCACTGGGACTAAGTTGCCTACTGTCCAACAGGTTTTTGCTAGAAGGCCAAAATGATCTCATGCCATTAATTTTGTTGTACGTTCAAGATGGAATCAGTAGCTTTTATGAAGGTCCAATGTTTGTTTGTTGTATTGTATAAACATTTTCATTAATAACATCAGTATACCAATATTCTATATTTCGTTTTAGCTAACGATGTGCACAGATGATGAGTCATAAGTACTTAAAGTGATTTTTTTATTAAATTGCCTGGTATATTTATAGATGCAAATGGTGTTACGCTTTCTCTTTACTATTCTAAGAATATTGGAAAGTGATGAATTATAATGGTTTATTGTTATTAATTATTGGTACGAGTTTCATAAATTCTAATTAACAAATGGTTAATAATGTTCCCTTTCTCGGATGGATTTTGTTGTGAGTGCCAACTTGGAAGCCTAGCCCTCTTGGTACCGTCCTGAAGGCACACATATTAGCGTATTTGGTTGTTAGTTATCACGTTTGTGTAGGCGGACGCTTAAGGTCACATTGCGGACTAATACTATATTGCGCATACATTCTTTATTCTTTGTTATTGGATATATCTTTTAGAAAAAAATGGATGACTCTGTTGATCAACAAGACAGAATGAATTGGTTTAAAATGTTTTTTTGTTAAATTTCCTTTCTTGAAATTATTTTAAGAATACTTTGAGTTGGAAACCATAATGCAATTAAAGTGAAAATCTAATTGTTTCGGGTGTAAGGTCGAGTATCTCTGCAAAGCACATCTTCACACTTTACTCTAAGCTGACTTAGGTAATTTTAAATATTTTTAATTAAAATCCTAAAATTCTTTGTTGTTTTCACTTCAAACTGTTTGGGATACCGGTAAAAGACACATTAGTAAAACAAGAGGATTTTAACATGCCTATTATGTTTTGGTTGACAAAAAATCAAAGCACAATCTGACTCGGTAACATTTTTGAAATTCTCGCTAATGTATATAGCTTGTTCTATTTTAACTAATGTCATAGGTTAGAAATGTAAAAATAACAGAAAAGGACATAAACTAAAAAAATTATTATTTTCTTAGAATATATTTAAGCCTTATCTATTCTATTTTATACGCAGACTAAAACATTAGTGAGATGTTAAAGAAATAATGTCAAAGACAAGGCAACTTAAAACACAAGAAAGAAATTGAGCGTAACTTTTACAATAATTTCGATATAATTTACGGGAAAAGCGGGAAGATATTCCAGTGTGTTTAATCTTCTTTTAGGAGTGACCGCTTAACTTTTAGTTTTCTATTATCTATAATTTTAAATGTTTTCGCTTTTAATTTAACTTTTCAAATCTCATTTTACGTTGGTTCTTCCTATAACAATTTTTTTTTTCTCAACATGAAAAAAAAATGTAAATAGTGAAAATATCAGAAAAGAAAATGCAAATACAGAGAAGGATATTAGGCACCACCACTGGTTCCAATGACCAAAAGTGGTATTTTGCCGTGTCCTTGGCGCGTTTTCAAACTTCGGATAGTTGACAATGAGAGTTTCGTCAGCCTTTATTTCTACACATTAGAAACTGCAAGGTGCCATGAAGGCACTTACAACAAAAATTACTACATCAGAATTGCAAGGTTGGAACCGTTCTTGGTGAAAATTCTTGAAAATTTCAGCTTCTGAACTATACATCTCTCAAACAAACCCTAGGAAACGGCAAATATGAAACGAAAGAAATAGCAGAAATTTCTGTGCAAATTACCATTTCCATTTCTTACGTAATTTCCATACATTAAATGAATGCTGTATATGAAGGCGTGCTTCCTTATAAATATAGTCGCATTGCCATGTTTTATCGGCATTCAGCAGTGTCTGCAGGATTGATAGACACAACCCACACCGATTGGAATTACTTAGCCATTGCACAATGAGTTCCCAAAAGCGAATTCAGGATGTTCTTGCTCACTCAACAAGGCCACCCTCTGAGAGTAGCAAGTCCGAAACTTCAAGCAGTGGAGTCATAACCATTCATAATGTTCTTATCCATACAACAAGACCACCTCCTAAGATTAGTACCTCCAAATCTTCAACCACTCGACCAAATTGATTTCAGACCCCTTTTATTATATATAAACCAATGTTGCATATTGGTTTATATATGGCGAATTACAAGTTTTATTGAAGGTGGAAGGAAGAATGTACTTCTATTTAGGGATTGGAGAATACATCAGCTCAGCTAGTGTGTTTGTTTATTGCATTTGTTGATTTATTCCATCACAGCATAAATGTTCTTGTATTCATAATATTGTCTGATTGTATTCCATAACTCATACTTGTATTCATAAGCATTACTCGCAGACTAAATGTTCTTTTGTCATACGGAGACTAAATATTTTTGTTTCCTGCGATTTTAATTCCCTGAAAAGTATGTTACTCGATATTAGGAAAACCTCTAAAAAACTATGGAAAATCACTGGAAAAAGCTGCATCATTATTAGCGGAGGTTTAGCTAGAATCGTTGAAATTAGCAGGGGTTTCGCTAGAATCGTTGAAATTAGCGGGGTTTTTGCTAGAATCGTTGAAATTAGTGGTGGTTTTGCTAAAACAGTCGGATTTAGCGGCGGTTTTACTGAAACCGTCGGAATTAACAGGGTTTTGCTAAAACCACTGGAAATGTGCCCAGATTATTATTTTTTTTAGTTTTTTTTTGTAATCACTACAAAAGTCTCCAATTTTAGTAAGGGTTATTTTTAACATTATCGGGGTTTTAACCCCCGAAAAATACGTTTCCAGGGGTTACAGGAACCATTGGAAAAACCACCGTCACAATCTTATCAGCGGTTTTCTGTCAATTTCCAGGGGTTTTGGGAACCGTCAGAACTAACTGGGGTTCCTTAAAACCGCCCCTATTACTAGGGGTTTCTGGGAAACCGCCGGCACCCACTGGGTTCTGCAAACTGTCCCTTTTTCAGGGGTTTCTGGAGAACTACCGGAACTAACCGGGATTCTACGAACCGCCAGAAGTAGCTGGGTTCGAAAATTTTCTGGGGTTTTATTCAAAACGGCCGGAAATGCATACAGATTTTTTTTTGGTTGAAATTGGAGAATTTCTTAATTTTGATGCATCAGATACCTATCTAGCAGTATAGTAGTTTATGCTAATAAAATCAAATGAATTAATAAGCAATATGGAATGCTTGTTTGTAAATTTTGGATAATCTCCTTTTGTTAATGGATTCATAAACCTTTAATGGAACAAATAAATTATTTGATATTCATACTTTATTACTAACTATATATAACATTATCATTAGTGCAGTAGACATCTAGGTATCAGGATGCATTATACTTCTGCTTACAATGACTTTTACCTTTTTTGTTTCTTTTTAACATAGATTTTTCATGCACCTTAGTTCCCACACAACAGAATAAAAGTAAGAACTTTATAGCACACCATTTTAATTGTATATATCAGTTTTGAGGATAAGGATATATAGAGAAGTACTTTACCATCCGAAAGTAGCCTCTCGATCAAGTTTGTTTTCAGAGAATGGCACACTCCAAACAAAATTCAATGTTATGCCATTTTTGAATTCTCTGCACAATTTTGTTATAAAAAATTAAAGACAAAGAATCTTAAATGTCCATAACAATGTATTCTATGATGCAATGCATGTATGAAAGTCTACTCTAGCCTAACAACGAGTAGTATAAAGTTAGAATGCTAAATGAAATACAAATTTGAAATGTATGCACATGGATAATTCACTACTACAAAATAAGAAAAACACAGCACTGAATACAGTTATTTAAATAAGTACTATCTATAAAAATATCGAACAATAGTGTTTTTTAAAAGGGTTATATATTGTGATACCCTTATATCAAGGGACAATAGACGCTATTTATGATGTATTTTTATTTTAAAATTTTAAAAAATTCTAGTTGGATGTATTTTTATTTTAAAAATTATAGTTGTGTACATTCAGGTTTCATGTTGTGCAATTCGTCTCTTTGTTCTCCATTTCTTCTCCGACATTCTCCATTGCTTCTCCAGCGTTCTCCCATTGCTAGTTTTAAGATAATGATAATCCATTGTTTAGGGTTTTTTTATTTGACTTAAAGATTCTTCCAAAAATGAAAAAGTGTGTTCTTTTAAACAAATGCTTTACAATGATTCTTATGGTAAGATTTGCATGTGATATAAAAATACCCTTCAATCAATCTTGGTATTCACATAGACTATGATTTATTTCTTTAGGCTTTATTATGTTTTTCCTTATAATTTTCAGATTTTTCATGAAAAAGTGAAAACTGAGTTAAATTCTTAAAGGTACAAAATTTGTTGTGCAAATTTATATCTGCTGTATTTGTGCACCTCACAATAAGTTAAATACAATTATAAAATAAAATATGATATAATGGAAAGTCTGCATATTGGCCATGTTACTATTGTCCAATCTGCAAATTCTGCAAAAAAGTTTTAACAGTAGCAAAAAAGAAAGTCACAAATTCATCACATGCTATTTACAGCACCAACTTGAGGATATTGGTTACATAATTTTCTTGAAGGTATCAAATTTCACAAAAATTTACCAAGAATAACAAGACAGTTATAAATTCTGAAGTCTTCAAAAAAAATTTCAACACTATTAATTAATTTCCCAGGAAAAAGCCTGAAAAAAAAACTCAAAGTGTCCTCGGCACCTATTTTATTATGTCATTTCACCCGAAAGTTATCTGACCTTCACCCTGTCAAAGACAATAAAAGTTTTTTAATGCACACTCAGATGTGAGTGATCATGAAAGAATTAAAAGTAACTGTAATTGAAAAAGGTCTCTACTTAAATTAGATGCAACAGAAAACATTATGTTGTGTTCTATCAAATGCAACGATGAAATTCAAATTTATCAAACATGTTCCTTCACCAGAAAAATTGGGTTTGAACCAAAACATTAACTCTGAAGATGAGGATTACCCCAATATTTTGACTATAAAAATGAGATCTCAAGCAAGAACAGTGTTATACAAAGCTCGTGTTGTATATTCATTCTACGAATCAAACATCACTATGCACAAAAATAACCAATACCAAATTAAATTTAATTAATCCACAGCCTCGCTGGAAGATCGTTCGAATTGCGGCATTATCCAGATCATAATATCATACTTTATTAAATTAAATTGTTGTATAAAACAAGTTACAACCATTATCTTACCATAAATAATAAAACCATTATTAATATAGAAATTGTAAGAGCAAGTATTTATGGATCAATAATTGTAAACCCTAACCTGTGAGAAATTTCTCCATTGAAAGAAATTATGACAAAACTGGACAAGGTGATTTGAGCGCAAAATTAAAAAGAGATAGGGAGAGAAAAAGAAATGAGTGAGAAAGAGAATGAATTACCTTATCAGAAACTGAAGGGGAGGAGGGAGTAGAAGAAGGTTTTGGAGAAGAAGATTCCATCTGGGACATTCTATTTTCAAGAGCGTCAACGCGTTCCCAGCAACGGTTAAGCACAAAACGCTGAGCCTTCACGTCATGCAAAACGGATAGGGACATATAGGCGTATGCCGTTGTGAATCCAAAGCCGAAGCATAACAATCGACTTCTTGACATTCTTTCTTCTCAATTCGGAACCAGCTCAAATTTGAAGACGGTGCGATGGAGAAAGATGGATAGGTAATTTTGTTTAAATTATATAAAGCTGTGGTAAAATTATTAATAGATATGAAATTTAAAATAGTTTATAATAAAATATATTGTTTGAGTAATATGAATTAAAATATTTTAAAAAATTATTAAAGTAATTTAATTTAAATTTATAAACTTTTCAATTTTACATAAAATAAAATAAAAATTATAAATTTTTCATATTTTTAAATTCATGTGTTTTTCTTGTACTATATATATATATATATATATATATATATATATATATATCAGTGAAAATATATATCTTTAGTTAATCGTTGATTTAATGTACTATATCGTTGATTAATCATTAATTTTCTAATTGTAAAATATTTTTTATTTGTGATTTTTTTAATGTTTGTTATGATTATTTTTTATTATCGAGGTTGTATTTTTTTTTAAAATGATGTAAATATTTCAACAAATATTAATTAGGATTGTTTTATTTTTTTTTCTTATATCAACTAACAAAAATTTTCAATTGTCATCGATTAAAAAATCAATGAAACCTTCCACTAGAAAGTTTGTAAAAATAATCTTGATGATCGCGGTTTACATAAGTATTTTTTTAGTTAATGGATACTGTAAAAAATTTTAGTTAACATCCATAAAAAACGGCAACAAATATGATAAAAAAAAGAAATAACTCTAATGAATGTCAACATAGATTATTTGACTCAATATCTATTAGAAACAATTTTCGCAAATATTTATTTTAATATATATATATATATATATATATATATATATATATATATTGATGATACTTGTAATGAATTTTAAAAAAAAAAAAAATTGACTAAAAAAATATTACCAATATTAATATTTCTTTTTGTCATTAACAACTATTTAATCTTATATACGGGGAAGATGTTTTGAAATTTTATTTTATTGATTTCAACTACTTTGGACATAAAAAAAATATTTGCAATTTCAAAAATATGTTTAGAATAATAGTTTGATTTTGTAATTTTTTATGAAAAAATAACTTGTTGTGTGATAAATTAAAAATTTATATCTTATTATTAATGTTGTATGAACTAAGTATATCATACATAAATTTTGTTTTTCATGTAATTAAGGCTTTTTCTCTTTTAAAATGAAATTAGCTCTGGTAAAACCATTTTCTTGGTAAAGTCATGACATTTTACATTTTAACTTAGAATGTTTTGACGTTTGAGAAGTCTAAGAAGGTGATTGTTCTCAAGAAGAGCAAAAAGAATGTCCTCATGAGCACGTCGGAGGACCTTGTAATATGATTAAGGATGAAGAGTTTAAATAGTGACAAGAAACATAAAAATAAATAGCATAGGTTTTTCTAGACTTGTATTTTGATTATTTTAGTTTTTAGTTTTTCTCTCTTTGTTAGTTTGAAAGAAGCTTATATATTCTTTTTTTGTATAAG